GGGAGGTAACGGGGGGCAACCGGCTGCCTCCCACACCACCTCTTCTTCCGCTCCCCCCTCGCCCTCCGCGCCTGCACACCCGCGCCTATAGGCAACCCATCGAGCTGCCGCGTATTCTCCCGGACACCCGGTACTCCTGCTGCAGGTGTTCCTGGTGCGCAATTCTCGCGACGTGAGCCTGCTCATCAGAGCGGTGTTGCTCTACATGCACTCCTTCCCGGGTCCGCGGCACAAGTACGTGAGCAGGCATGCCGCCATCGCGTGGTTCGGAGCGAACTTCGCCTTCAACACCTTTTACTGCCTCAGTTATGCCGTACGACAGTAGTTCCCTTGACTAGCCCGGTTTGGAGCCCCCTGCACGCGGGCCACGGTCTAATGCGCGCTCCTGCGCAGCGCAGCATCACTTTTTCTCAGATACCTGGAGTGTCGCGTTCTATGTTTTGAACGACCTGCTGCCAAACGTGCTCATCAGTGCGGCGCAGGACTCATTCCTGCACGTCGTGTCGGCCAACGTAGACTTCTTGGCGACCATCGCGGACGGCGTGCACGAGCACGCCGCCTCGCTGTCGCGCCTGGCCGCGGCCGGATCTGTTATTGCCCCCAGCGCGCCCTGCTCACCGACCTGCGCCACGCACTGCGGCCGGGGCCGGGCCCGCGTGCTCCTGGGCGAGCAGGGCGACGTCTTTCTGGACGGCCTGCGCGCGCTCAGGGTGCGCTACCAGAGCGTCCAGGACGCGGTACACGCGACCAACTGGGTCTACGGAGGCTTCAACCTGTTCGCCGGCACGGCCACGTTGTTCAGCGGGGTGGTGTTCCTGTACTCCGGGGTGATGCTCACCATCACGTTCGCCGGGGTGCTGGGCGACTACGAGGATCCACTTCCCCTTGACTCGTTCGAAGGGGACTGCTGCCTGGCATTAGGCACAATGCAGATCGCCCAGCTTCTATTCATGTGCGCCATAGGAGAACAGATGAGTTCGGAGGTGAGTCCGAGACAGGGGCGTTCTGGGCAGGGGTAGTTCTTTTTTGGTATGCTGCCGCCCGCTCTAGGCAAACTTCTTGTAGCGTTTTAGGATCTCGAGCGCCTTGGAGACGGGATTGGCTCGTCATCCAGGCATAGACCCTCGGGTCGAGCGAGAGGTATGTTTTCTTTGTCATTTATTTACCCTCAGAACTACACTGTGTACACAAGACTACTGTGAGGACTGACCGGTCAAAACGATATCATTTCGACGCCAATTCGATCGTTTCGACATCGTTTCCGCCATGAGAGAAGGGCGCCCTGGAGAAGAAGCTTTATAGCCCCTGGACCCCGCTTTTGGACCTGGGAAACCAATAGGCTCTGGCTGCGTTCATTTCTCGCACACGGCGTTGAGTTCATGAGATTCCTGACTTTTTTCCCTATAGAACTGTCTTTTGCC